TGTGTGTGTGTGTGTGTGTGTGTTACGCTGATGTGTGCAGATGCAATGATCTGTGCATGCAACAGTAGAGGCCAGGGTTTGGCATCAGGATGACCTCCTCAGTCACTTTCCCAACTTTCTATTGTGTTGCTGTTGTGTGGGAGGTTGGAGGGACATTTGTTTGTTTGTTTGTTTGTTTGTTTTGAAGCAGGGTCTCTCACTGAGCCTGAAGCTTAGCATCAGACAGCTAACTGCCCAGAGAGTACAAGTCCAAGCCCCGGCAATGGGGTTAGATGTGCCTGCCATCACATCCAGCTTTTACGTGGTTCCTGGGCCTGGAACTCAGTTCCTCATTGCTGCCACAGCAAGCGCTTCACCCACAGAGCCACATCCACAACTCCCCAGGCCGAGTCACCACACTAGAAATGTCCTGAGACTGATCACTCTCTGACTTCTTTCCACCTTCACGGGTCCTGAGGGCTGGCATGTGGCTGGGGGCAGAGCACTGACCATGCCTGCACAAGGCCCTGGCCTTCATCCCCAGTGCCACAAAACAGTTTGTAAGACAGATTGATAAAATAATATTTGTGGGTTTTATACTTTATTTATTTATTTAGTTAGTTAGTTAGTTTTTCCAAACTGAGTTTCTCTGTGTAACAGACCTGGCTGGCCTGGAACTCGCTCTATAGACCAGGCTGGCCTCAGACTCACAGAGATCTGCCTGCCTCTCCCTCCTGAGTGCTGGGATTAAAGGTGAGCACCACTGCCCAGCTAATAAATGCTTTATGTTTATTATCTTGAATGAAGACTAGATGTTGAGAATACCAGGTTAACCAAATAATAATCAGTCTCCTGTGCCACTGAGTCCATGAATCACTTAGTTCAGCACAAGTGGCTATCATCACCCCTAAAAACCTATAGAGGCGATAAATCAAGCAGAATATACTATCTGAGGCATTGACCACCAGGCATTGAATGTATTAAAAACGAACTTCTGGGAAAGAGTCCAGATTCAGTGGTCAGCTGGACAGAGTTGATGAGGGTTTGCAAGCTGTCCCCTGTCACTGAATGCCATGAATTGCTTTCCTCTCTTCTCTCCCTTGCAATGAACATAATTTGAGAAATACAGCCAGCTTAGTGAGCAGTCTGATTTATGAGACACATGTAAAGTATAGGACTAAAAAGTCATTCTCCCTAAGAGCATGATAAATATGGTTGATAACAATATGCTATATTTTAAAAGTTGTGAGATAGTACACTTTAAGTGTTCTCAAAACAAAAATGATGAATATGTGTGATATAACATGTTAATTAGTTTAATTTAGCCATGCCATTGTGAACATACTGTATTATGTATCATAATTGTGCATGACTTTATTTATGAGCTAAATAAATGAATGGAAAAAAAGTCATTCTCCTTCAATAATGCTATAATGAATCTACATGTTTCGCTGCTTAACAAAGCATCAAGGACAGCCTTTGGGCTTCTGGTTTCTTCTTTTTAAAACACGTGCTATGGGCTGAGGCGATGGCTCAGCTGGTAAACAGACTGCCAGGCAAACATAAGGAAATGAGTTTGGGTCCCCAGTACCCACATAAAATCCCAGGCATGGCAACACATCTACACTAGGGAAGAGGCAGTCAGGAAGACTCCAGAAGCGTGGGCCAGCCAGGCTAGCTGATCAGGTGCAGTAAGAGACCTCATCTCAAAAAAAAAGAAAAAAAAAAAGAAGGTAGAGAGCAGTCAAAGGTGGTTTACATTGACCTCTGCCTCACACACACACACACACACACACACACACACACACGCACGCACGCACGCACGCACGCACGCACACGCAGGTGTGCACACAGACGAAGAGGAGCACGGGCACACACGGCACACACACAAGCATGGTGGCACACACGGGAGGCTGAGGCAGGAGGATCAGGAGTTCCAGGCCCACCCCGGGTTGCATAATGAGAACTTGTCACCACCCTCAGAAGAAAAGGAAGGTAGGGACAGACATACACTCACACACATTCCGGATCCCATTTAAAATGTTAATCTTGTCTCCTCCGGGCCCCTTCAGATGAGGGAGTCAGCTATGGGGGAGGATTGCTGTATCAGTTACTTTCTCTTCACTTTGGTAACAAAGGGTTTCACGGGG